ACACAACACACACAACACACCACACACAACACACCACACACAACACAACACACACAACACACACAAGACACACACAACACACAACACACACAACACACCACACACAACACACATAACACACAGCACACAGCAGACAGCACACAACACATTTAACACACAACACACAACACACAACACACAACACACAACACACACAACACACAACTCACACAACACACAACACACACAACACACAACATACACGACACACAACACACAACACACAACACACAACACATAACACACAACACACAACACACAACACACAACAGACAACAGGCAACACACACGACACACATAACACACAACACACAACACACACAACACACAACACACACAACACACAGCATACAACACACAACACACAACACACAACACACACAACACACAGCACACAACACTCAACACACAACACACAACACAACACACAATACACAACGCACACAACGCACACAACACACAACACACAACACACACACAACACACAACACGCAGAACACACACACACACACAACACACACAACACACAACACACAACACACAACACACAACACACAACACACAACAAACACAACACACACACACAACACACACGCACGCACGCACGCACGCACGCACACACAGACACACACGAGACGCGGCCCCGGCCTTGACGAGAGCTGGATGTACCGAGCCCAGACCTCCAGCGCAATGGGAAAACCTTTCACGGAGGGTCTGTCGCCTCGGGGTGCCTGCCAGCAGCTGCGCCTCGCCGAGATCGCTCCGGGGATGCCCGAGCCGTCCCGCACGGCCGCCGCCGTGGGCCCGAGGTGTGGACCCCCTCAGCCAGACCTCCGACGGATTGAAGAACACGTTGCGGAGCTGTTTCGCCGTGTTCGGCCTCCGGGGGCCCTCACTGGTGAAGCCGAATCTGCCGGAGGAGCGCTTGTTGCTCTGACTTCAGGCATCCCTGTCGCCCTCACGCGCAGTTTCCCCGCTCCCGCTCGCACGGCACGAGCACGAAGCCGAAACCGATTTTCTAGTGGGGAGGTCTCCTTTCCATGTCGTCTTCACCCGGAACCTCCGCGCACATGTATGAACGTAGTTATGTCGTCATCTAGGTTTGTGTATGGATGGCTTCATCGGTCGATGATGAGATTCACACACGTGTATGTGCATACGTACGTAGAACACGTGTACGTACACGTCTACATGCACACATCTACAAACACACATACTCTCTCTCCCACATCTATATACGTATAGGTGTACCTCGATTTGTCCATCTTGAGGCATCCGCATGTTCAGCTTGTGTATCCAGGCGCGTGTGTTTTCAGCTTCTTGGCGGCAGAGGTCGCGATCTGATGGTCCGACTCTGCTGGCGGCCTGCCAGTAGGAGTGATTTCGACAGGGCACGTGCCCCACTGCCAAGGCATGGCAAGCTACGCCAGCCCTTCGCCAACACAGTGGTGACGGGTTTGGCGATGGACCGCCCAAAGTTCGGGGGAGCGTAAGACCCGGGTTTGCCAGGACTCGGGTTCGCCATCGTTTTTACGACCGCGCCTCGGATTTTGACGAGGAGGAGTTTCGTGGGATGTCTGCAGCGGGAGGCCTCGTCAAAATGCAGGCTCGGCCTCGTCATTTTTTTGACGACTTCGTCGGGGATTTCCGAGTCCCCTGTGCCCAGGTCTTACTTCCCCCCGAAAAGTGGAATTCGTTTTTCCTCTGTTTCAGAAAGGGGACTATGAACACGTCCTCGCTTTCCGCCGCGATCCCCGCGCCGGCCGGTGACTTTCTGCCGGGGCGGCTGGGAAGCCCCCCCCCCGCCGCCTGGCCCTTGCCGCTCCTCTCCGACTTCGCACTCCTCCCCAGTCCCCCTCGTCCTGGTGAGCGTTTTCTTAATCGGCGTTTCGGCATTGAGCGAAGAAGGGGGGGAGGGGGAGGGTCTTGCTCTGGCGCCTGGCCCTTACCGCTCCTCTCCGACTTCGCACTCTTCCCCAGTCCCCCTCGTCCTGGTGAGCGTTTTCTCAATCGGCGTTTCGGCATTGAGCGAAGAAGGGGGGAAGGGGAGGGTCTTGCTCTGGACCTCTGCTTAGCGCGACTGCTTGCAACAGCGCGTCCTCCGGGGGAGAGAGTCCACCTGCTCGAAGCAGGCGCCAACAACAGCCACGATTCACTCCATTGGGGGGGGAGGGGGGTTGCCAGGGCCCGCGCCGATCGGCAAAACAGTGAATAAGAAAACGATCACCCGTCCCTCAGCTCCTCCCGAGTCCCAGGAGAGGGCCCCACGAGGACCGAGCATTTTCTTTGGGTGGAGGGCAAATGGTGAAAGCTGAAATGCCGTTTCGATTGATCTTCTAGGCTTGAATTTGCAAGAGCTGAATCACAGGACGGATGGGTTTTCGAGGTGCAGAAGCCCATACGGTAGGTTTGCGTCGTGTCGACCGGCGGCGACCCCAGCGCGGGCGTTCAAGGTTGAACGCCGGCGGCGGCCCAGAATCGGTCGATGTTGAACGATTGGACGTCGCGGAAATGGCCGATCGTTCAAGGTTGAACGATCCCTGCGGAGTCAAAAACCAACGCCGGGGTCGACACGACACGAACCTGCCGTACGGATCTCACCTTGGGCCCTCTACCCCAGGGAAGTGCTCAGCAGGAGGAGAACCAGGCCAGCCGGGCGGTGGGCGGAGGGCAGGGGCGAAGAAGGAAGGAAGCCTCTCGCCCGCCAGGCGAGGGGGGGCGAGGAACGAGGGGCAGGCCTGCAGGGGGCGAGGGCGAGGGCTTTGGTAGCAACTCGTGGGGGCCTGGTCTGCCATCTGAGTTCCGCCTTCTGCGTCGGCTAGCGCCTGGGAGTCGACGAGATGGCGCCGATTTAGCGTCGGCTGGCGTCGACTGGCGTCGCTCTAGCGCCGATTAGCGTCGGTTTAGCGTCGTCTGGCGTCGATTCGCAAGAGCCGATAAGATGAAGTGGGAGGCTCCCATGAGTTACCATCGACTAGGGAAACGAAACATGACATACAAAATAAAAGCTCAGAGGTCCGCGCGGATTTCTCGGATCGGCGCTGGACCCCCCTCCCTGGCGCGCGGCGCGCGCCTGGGGTGGCGCCGGAGGCGCTGCCAGGGCGCCCCAGCGCGGATCAGAGAAATCCGCGCGGACCTCCGAGTTGTTTTATGTTTATGTCATTTTTTCGTTTCCCAATCGAAGAGGGCGACCAAACGAAGCCTCGCCCGTCCCGTCGGCCCCTTCGGGGGCCGCCGGGGCGGTGGAGGAGGAGTAGGAGGAGGAGTAGGAGGAGGAGGAGGAGGAGGAGGAGGAGGAGGAGCAGCAGGAGGAGCAGGAGGAGGAGGAGCAGGAGGAGCAGGAGGAGGAGGAGGAGGAGGAGGAGGAGGAGGAGGAGGAGGGCTCGCCGCGGGCGCCCACCTGCGGCCGCAGAGCCGCGCGGGCCGTCGCGGTGGTCTTTCGGTGAGGGGGGAGCCTCCATAAACATGACATGAATACTGACATGAATACTCCATAATCCTCCTCCTCCTCCTCCTCCTCCTCCTCCTACGGCATTATCCCTTCTTCCCCAGATCATCTGCGGAGCCCACTGACCATGAGATATTATCGGGACATCTTGCAGGGATTATGAATCTCCAGGCAAATGACTCCTCCTCCTCCCCTGCGGCGGTTAGCACGCGTGCTGGGTCTGTTGTCGGGCTCGTGGTTCTATTGTCGGCGCTTGGCTGGCCCTCTCTTTGCCCTCCGGGCCTCTTCCGCAGTCCGGCTCGCCTGCTGGTCCTGTGGGTTCGGTTGGGGCAAGCTTGGACTGGACACCTCCTCCTCCTCCTCCTCCTCCTCCTCCTCCTCCTCCTCCTCCTCCTCCTCCCTTGCACCACGCTGCCGTGTCCACGGGGTCTCGGGCCCACGGGGTCTCGTGTCCAGTGCGGTTGAGCGACGGAAGACAGCGCGGGGTCGACTGTGCCGACGTTCGCGCGCAAGCTCATGATGTTCCAACCTGCTGTAGCCTCGGGTCACCAGAAAGAGTTTCGAGCACCGAGAAAGCACCGAAACAGGAGGACTTTCACGTGTCGGGCTCTGGGAGGCGATACTCCTTCGGCGCCGTTTCGAGACTTTTCTGGGTACTCGAAATTGTTTCTGGTATGTGGTCCATGAGTACGATGGGAGGAACATAAGCGTAAACTGCTCGCGCAAGGTCGCGTGTATCGAAGAAGTTAAAACGACATAAACATAATTTGTTGGCGCTCCGCGCGGGTTTCTTGGGTCCGCGACTGGGCCCCCCGGCGGCGCCTCCGGCGCCGCCCCTGGCGCGCTCCGTGCGCCAGGGAGGGGGGGTCCCGCGCGAATCCAAGAAATCCGCGCGGAGCGCCAACAGTTCATGTTCATGTGGTCTCTTCTTCTTCTATCGGATACGGCCAGGACCCCGGGTAAGGGGACCTGGTCAGTGGTAGGACCCCAGAGCCTTCGAATTGGCCAGAATCACCAAACCAGGTTTGCCATAGCTGGTGTTTTTTCCGGGTGACGGCAGTTCCTGTTAGTGGAAATGAGGCGGGGGGGCGCCCCCGGTACAGATCGCTGAACCAGGTTCCACTAAACCCAGTTCTACCAACGCCCGATTCTTAGCGTAGGCGCCTTCGCTTCCAGCGTGGCGTGCCGCGCCGGCGGGCCCCCGCGGACAACAGAAACGCGCGCCCCGTGCCCGCGGGGTCTCGGCCCCCCTTGTCTCGGGAGGGACAAAAAAAACACACAGGCACAATGAATCGTCGATTTCCCAGAAAACCTGGGAAGATGTGGGAAATGGGGGGGAAGACAAAAACACAGCATATATATATATATATATATATATGTGGGGAATCCTGTTATTTGTGTGTATTCATTTGTGTGCCCCATGGCCCCTTCATTCTCCTCGGGCCCGGCCAGCAAGGCCGTGGATGTGTGGATGTATGTTCACCCGCCCGCGGCCGCGCACCCTCGCCGTCGCCGCCGTCCGCCCCCCATGCCATCCTCCTCGTCATCCCCAGACCCCCTCGATGTTTCGTTTTTTTCGGCCTCGGCGCTGCTGCTCTTCGGCGTCCTCACCCCCGCCTCTTGGCACCGAATCGGCGCCCGAATGGCACCGAGTCCGGGCCGCTCTGGCCCTCCTCCCGGGCGTGGCATTTGCTGTGCTTGCAACGAGTGCCGGCGACACAAAGGGTGTGGCTACGCCAGGGTATGATTTGCGATCGGTGCGGCTGGGGCCTGAGGGGCACGACGGCCTCCTTCCCCTCCTCCTCCTCCTCCTCCTCCTCTTCCTTCTCTGGGGGCCCTCGCCGGGCCTCGGGGCCGTCAGAAGACGACGCAGGACGAGAAGCCGGTCCTGGCTTGGACGGGCCGCTCGGACGGGCCGCTTGCATCCGCGCTCCAGAGTTGAGCGCGCAGGCTGAACCAGCCAACTCTAACTTCGCTCTTTTTCGCCGATCTGGATCGCCTGCATTTCAGCCCCCGAGCCCCTTCTCTAGTGGGAACACCAATGCCGCCGAACAGTTGCGGCAGTTGCGCGGCATGTGCTGATGCGCCAGAGCACCTTGGGCAGGTGGCTGGCGCGAAGCCCGCGGCCCCCGAAATAACAGGCCGTCGCTTGAGACATGCTGCAATATGTTCGGGCGTGTCCGGGTGTAGCACCAAAAAATACATCCTGCGAGTGCTCATGCTGATATTGAAGGGAACTTTCTCCTTGTTATCTAAGCACTAATACGCGTGTTAAGAGCTCTACGAGGGTTCCGGCGGTAACCTGGTTGACGGTTTACCGCCGGCTCCCAGTTGGCCCACCCGGCCCGGGCGGACAATGTGGCAACCTAGGCTCGGTTTTGTGAAAATTCTCAGAGATTTGAAAGTTCGTTTCGAGAACGAGTATTTTCCTCACGTGTAGTGGGTTATGTCGCGTCTGTCTGTCAAATTCTCAGCTCCGTAGCTGTAATTTTTGGGCCTCTAGCTTTTTCTTTCCGCGCATCGCCCGGACATTATCGTTGACGTCTTCTTCTGGGCAAGAGCGACTTCGCGCGTCGAGTGCGCGATCGAATTTCCACGTCGACAGCGGAAGCCAAGAAACATCGGGAGACCCCTGACGATTTGTCAGTACATCGTCGGGGGTCTCTTGACGACGTCTTCGCGGTAAGTTCCTAGCAGAATTCCCAGCAATACTCGAGGCGCGCATGTCTCTACAAACATTTTGTTTGCGCTGGCACGCCAGAGTATGTCGCATGAGAAGCGCAGCCCCGCGTCGACATCAATGTCGCGTGCCCAGACGCAATTGTAAGCCGACGGCGATGACGACTCGTTTTGAAGAGGCCTCCCAGGTCATCCCAAACACGGCCCAAGAGACAGAGGACCCCGATACGTCCCAAGACGATCCACGAAGCGCAAGACGGCCCAAGAGGGCCTTCAGAGGTGTCCAAGACGGGGAACTCGAATTGAGATTTCGACCCCTCCGCACCAAAGGGCCCCCGAGACTGCCAGCAGGCCCCCAGAGGCCCCAAAAGGCTTCCCAGAGGCCCAACAGAGGCCCCCACAGGCTTCGAAAACGCCACCGAGAAGCCCCTAAGAGGCCTCCTGACAGGCCCCAGTCGCTCTGAGCTCCGAACGAACAAACGACTGCGCGCCATGTTCCAACTTGATCATATACCGAACCGAGCACCACTTAGTATGGCGACGGTCAGGAACTCAATCTGTGTGTAAATCTGTATTCATTTGTTTGGAATGTCTAATGGCAGTCTGCCCATCCCGCCACTGTTCCTCGGTTATTGGTCATAGGCCTGTAGGTTGTTCGTTGGGATGTTTGCCTCTTAGGACCCTCTTGTAAGGCCTCTTGAAGGACTCTTGGGGGCCTCCTGGGGCCTCTTGGGCCAGCGGGCTCGACATGTCCGTTGGGGGACCCTGTTTGGGCCCCCCTGTGTGGACCGTTTGGGGGACCTCCTGGGTCATCTTGGAGGCGTTTTGGAGCGCCTTGGGGTCCTCTTGAGCTCTCTTCGGGCAGTCTTGGGGGCCTCTTGGGGCGATCTTAAGGGCCTCTTGGGCAGTCGTGGAACGTCGGGAATCCGAATGCGCGAGTTCCGTGCAAATCTTCACATACGAATGGAACAACTGATTTTTGCCTCTTGGGGTCCTCTTGGGAGGGCTCCTGAAGGCCTCTTGGGGGTGTCTTGAAGGCCTTTTGGGCCGCCTGGGAGCCATCTTGGGCCGTCTAGAGGCGCTCCTTGACCGTCTTGGGCGCTCGGTTGGGGAGCTCCGCGAACGTCTGCGGGTCGTTTGGGGCGTTGCAGCCGTCCCAGCGGTCATGCGAAACCAGGTCCTGGCCAGTGGTCGCCGCCGCGTGGCGCCGCTGCCAGAAACTGGGTGTCCTTGCCTGCGCCATGGGCACCGAATTGCGGGAAGCCTTCAGGAGCGCGTTTTGCGCGCGAAGGACGCCTGCCTCACGGCACACCGTAATTCACAGGGCCTGGGCGCCAGGCTTTGGGCGTCAAAGTGCGACAACTTTCAGGTTCGCGTTTCGTGCGCTCGCGCAAAACGCCCGCTTGACGGCATCCCGTACATTCCGATCGTTGATAGTAGGTGTTTTTGGATCTTCGGATCCTAATCTGCTTCAAGCGTCTTCCTGCTTCAAGAACCGATGAGCTTTTGCTGTGGTATTTGTTATTCTCTGGGAGGTCCTGGACCCGATCTGCCTTATCCGCCTTCTTACTTCGTGTTTCTACCTCCAGTCAACCCGCAGAGTAAGGATGGGCAACCTTCCCAAGGGTACCCCTGCGTCGTTGCCCCTCCGGCCCGTCCTTTCGGCCACTTTGGCTGGCCGTGCCCCGCTCGAGAAGTTTCGAAATGGGCGTCCAAGGCCCTGGCATCCTCTCTTCGGCGATTGATTTGGTGCAATTCGGCTTCATTGCCCTCGTCCTTCACGTGCTGGTCTTCTTCGTGTGCTAATTTGCGGTATGTATTTTTATGTTTAAAAGCACTGCTTCCGGCCCCGCGTGCAGCTTCACCAGGCCCCAGCCCGTGGGTTCCGCCGCGGGGGAGTCATCGGTCCAGTGCCACGGGCCTGGCTCTTCGGTTTTCCCTTCGGAGGGGCGCTTCTCGAGTGCGCAGACAAGGCGTTCCTGAAGGCATCCTGCACAGAGTGGAAGCCTATGCCAAGAAACACCCTGCTTGCCTCCAGGGTGCCCTGGGTTCCCTGGGTTTCGATGGTTTTGCGATGGAGAAAGTGACGTTCCCACACCAACAATCAATGGGCATCCTGTGGTCTCAGGGTTTCGGTTTCTTGTGAAAGGTTTTTCTCCTTTCGGTAGGGCGCTGCGAGTGCGCAGACAAGGTGCTCCTGAAGGCATCCTTCATTGAATTCGGGCAGGCCCCCTCCTTCGGTAACAAATCATGCGAGCCTGGCGTGCCCTGTTAATTCCTTCTTTAGCGTCGATCAGCGTCGGTTAGCATTTGGGAGTCGATGAGCTAGCGCCGATTAAGCGTCAGCGGGCGTCGATTAGCGTCGATACAGCGTCGATATAGCGTCGACTAACGTAGATTTAGCGTCGAATAGCATCGATTCGCAAGAGCCGACAAGATGGTATGGGAGGTTCAGTGAGTTGCTACCCCTCCCCCCTCCCCCCTCCTGCGCATGGAGGGGATCAGGGGGAAGGGGCGCCCTTGCGACTCGACTACGGCGTTCCTCAATTTCCGTGTTCCTCGATTTCCTTGGGACTGCTGACGGCGACGACGACCACGACCACGACGACGACACCGTCTTCCACACGCCGATGGGTCGGCGGACTTATACATTTCACTAGCTATCTAACCACAGACGGGACAACCACGGCACAACCACGGGCGAACCACGGGACAATCAATGGACAACCACGGGACAACCGCGGGACAACCGCGCGACGACCACATAACCATTGCGGGACAAACCCGCGCACCCCCCCAGCAACCACCGGGACAGCCACGGGACGGCCGCGGGACGACCCCGCGCTACCCCAGCAGGCAGGATCCCGCGCTGCTTCGCGCCGCTCGCACGCACGACGCGGCCCGAAACCGAAACCGGTTTCCTCGCTGGGCGAAGTTCCCGCACTCCGGTCTTGCCACGCCACCTCCTGGGGTATCCTTTGGCAGGTGTGATGTGGCGAAGTGCCATGTGCTGCTTTCCAGCTCACTCGCCAAAAGTGCAGCAGGCAGCAAACAGGTTGGAGTTCACTGGGGGGTAAAAGCTGCCTTGCAGCCGTGGGTGAGGGGGGGGTCGCTCGCAGTGCTCGTCGTCGTTTTCCTGCCCATGGTTCGCCTCCTATTGCTCCGTGTCTCCCGTGCCACTGCTCTTCCCCCTCCAGTGTGAGGTGCGGCAGACACGCGTTCTGTGATCAGCCTGTGGCTCCTTTGAAGCCGTTAAATTGTGCAGCCAGGCCGCATCAACTGTTTTCGATTAGAGTGGAGAGGAGGAAGCGAAAGAGAACGAGAGAGAAGGAGAGAGAGAGAGAGAGGTACAACCAGTTATATATGTATATATGCAGTGAGAGAGAACTAGAGAGAGAGAGAGAGAAAGAACAAACGAGAGAGAGCGAGAGATAAAGAGACGGAGCGGACATGTAGACAATGATTTTGACCGCTTCGGCGACCGCTCTGAAGTCGGAGCGTTTCCGAAGCGCAGCTCATCATGCGAGCTGGCCGTTTGGCGATCTGGCCGCTTGCTCCCATACTGAGACTCGATGGGAACTTTTTTCAGACTTGCGGAAAAGTGCGGAGGATGAGGTGAGTCGGATCCGACGCATGCGCCTGTATTGCATCCCTTCTGCCCCTTGCCCGAATGTGACATGTGCGATTGTCCTCGGATGTTTCTCAGTACGCGTGAGCTCATACGAGCACGACCACTATGCCTGCAACGCATGAGCATCATTGTGCCGAAGTGATGCTGGCTGTCAGCCAGTACTCCCACACATGTGGGTTGATGCGTGAATTGCCGAACGCCGACGTCCAGTGCCGAGCACCATGCACAGCCGCGCCCAGTTGCGACCACCACTGTGAGCTGTCGCGAACATAGACCGAGCACGAGTATGAATTATGTCGAGCATAGTGCAAATCAGCACGAACGGACAACCAGCCAGTGGACCCGAAGGGCGGGACGAGTGGCCAAGCCGCCGTGGACACGCCGCGGAGGTAGAGACCCCCAGAGTATGATGAGGCTATCAGGGCCCAGTCTGGGTCGGGAAGCCCGACAATGCGAGTTACCCATGGCCCTGGTTGAAGGTGTTTGCTCTGGATGTGTGGCCTGGCACCAGCAAGCGCTCCCTGGCCTCCGTAGGATGGGTGCTCGTCGGACCTCTGAACCGTTCTTTGGAGGTTCCCCAGCGCGTCCGCCACCACGAGATGGGCGGGGGGGAGGGTTCGCGAGCAGGAGGGAAGAGGAGGATGAGGAGGAGGAGGAGGAGGAGGAGGAGGAGGAGGAGGAAGGGGAGGAGGAGGAGGAAGAGGCGGACGAGGAAGAGGAGGAGGGGGAGAGAGGAGGACGAGGAGGAGGAGGAGGGTGATGAGGAGGAGGACCAGGAAGAGGATGCGGAGGAGGAGGAGGAGGAGGAAGAGCACAAGGATGAGGATGAGGAGGAGGAGAGAGAGGAGGGGGAGGAGGAGGAGGAGGAGGATGAGGAGGAGGAGGAGGAGGAGGAGGAGGAGGAGGGGGAGAAGGAGGAGGAGGATGAGGAGGAGGGAGGAGGCTGCACCCATCCTCGGCATGCTTCCTCCTCACAACTCCTCCTCCTCCTCCTCCTCCTCCTTTCATCCCATCTTCCTCCTCATAACCCCTCCCCCCCCTCCCTCCTCCTCTTCCTCCCCCCCTCCTCCTCTTCCTCTTCCTCCTCCTTCTCCTCCTCCTCCTCCTCCGCCTCCTCCTCCTCCTCCTTCCCTTACTCCTCCTCCTCCCCCTCACCCACCCGTCCTGCCTGCTGGAGGGGGGGGGGGGGGCAGAATGATGCCGAGGACGATGAATGAAGGCGATGCTACCGATGACGATGACGATGATGGTGGTGGTGATGATGCTGATGCTGCTGATGACGATGAGGACGCCGACGATGATACTGATGATGAGTATGAGGATGTTGATGGCGATGCTGTTGTAGATGATGATGGCTCGGATGAATATGATGGCGGTACTGGTGACGGTGATGATGTTGATGCTGCTGCTGCTGCTGCTGGTAATGATGATGATGGTCGTGTCTCACTTGTCATCTCATTAGCGATTGAGTGCCGTGAGGGTTTATCCTCCGAAACCGTCTGGCTCAGTTCTCTCGCGAGGTCTCCAGATGCTGAGCCCCCGCGCGCTGGCCTGGCTGGGCATCGCGCATTTCGCCGGGGCGTTCCTGGGCCATTTCGCGGCGCAGCCCGCCCCCCTGGTGCCGGAGGAGGCGCCTGGGACCAGCCCCGCGGAGGCGGGGGTGGACAGCGGCGCCGCGGCGTCGCGGGACCTCCAGCAGGTGCTCGGCACGCTGCAGGAGGCGCTGGGCGACTGCCTGGCTTCGCGGGCGCCTGTGTGCCCGAGCCCCTGCCCCGAGTGCCGCTGCGACTGCGGGACCGGGGCTTCGGCGTCGCCAGGCTGGTGGCGCGCGGCCCTTGAGCTCGTGGTGGGGGCCGCCGTGCTCCTCGCCCTCGAGTTCTTCCGCGGGCTGCTGGGCTGGGCCCGCCGGGCCATCTCCTGCGCGAGCCGTTCGTCGGGCCTGCCCGCGTCGAGGCCAGGCTTGGCGGCCCCAGGCTCGCCTGACCCGCGTGTGCCGAGGGGAGGCGGCCAGTATCGATGAATGTTGGGGACGAGATTTGTGTTGAGTACGATGTCGATCCTCCCCTTCTTCATGCTCGGCTTCTTCTGGTGGGCTCGTCTCGCACCCCGGGCGCCTTCTCTGTGCTCACTCCCGACATGGACGTGTATGTCGAGGAGTACACGCCCGCGAACACCGACCTGCGGGGATACTACCTCAAGCAGCCTCGAGGTGTCGGAGCCCTGGCGGTGGCAGCGCCTGGGGGACGAGGGCACTATGACTTCGCCCACCTCCCGACCGCGCCGCAGATGGTCGGGGTGCTCCAGGAGGCGCAGGTGGCCATGGCGTGTTTCGAGGGCGGCGGTGCAGGAGGCGGGGGTGCAGGCGGCGGGGCTGCTGGAGGGCTGCTGGGTGCCGGCGTGGCCGCGGGCCTGCCCGCCGCCTTGGGCGGTGGCGGAGCCGCCGCCGGCGCAGCACCCCTTGCCCTGCAGGGGCCTGCCGGGGCCGGCGCCGCGGGCGCCCCTGGCGCGGCAGCCGGCGCGGGCGGCGCCGCGGGCGTGGCCCCTGCCGGCGCCTTGGTCGCCGCGGGCGAAGGAGCCCCTGCCGCTGCCGCGCCTGCCCCCGCCGCGGGCGGCTTGGCTGGCCTCGCCGCCGCGCTGGGGGGACCCCCTGGTGCAGTCGAAGGCGATGGCGCTGGAGCTGCTGTGGGGGGCGAGCGAGGCGGGGACGATCTACGGACCCTTGCTGTGCGGTATGATCGACAGGGGTTGCGATATCGAGAGTATCGGGAAGCTGTTCAGAGCAACCGATCCACCAGCTTTCCTGACTGGCCCGCCCCAGGGCCGCGAACCTCCCAGTGGGTGGCGGAGTACCAGATGGAGCACGGGGGCACCCCCATGGGCCACCACGTGGCGTGGAAGGCGTCGCTGGGAGCCTCCGTCGGGCCCGATGACCCCGTGGTGCACCTGCACGCGGAGTTTAGCAAGCTCATGCAGACCATGTGCACCTACGACCAGCTGGACGGGGCCAACCTCGCATGCGGCGAGCTGGTGGCCCGCCAACTCCAGCTGTGCGAGGAGAAGTACAAGGACAAGATATTGTCACAGCGGGGGGGAGGCGGGCTCCAGCAGGACGAAGGGTACTTTTTCACCGACATGGGCTCGACGAGAGGCCTCATGGTCAGTCCAGAGCTCACCAAGTGGGTGGCGGAGCGCCTGCAGGCCGAGAGCAGCATCGCGAAGGAGCGCCGCAAGGCGCGTGAGGAGCGGCAGCTTGCCGCGCCCAGCGGCGGAGGCGGAGCCGGCAGCGGGGGCGGTGGCCCCGGCGGCGGCGGCGGCAAGAAGGGGAAGACGTGACGAGAACGGGGCGTCCCTTCGCCCCGCTGGTGAGGGAGCTCAGCCAACCCTCACCGGCCCCTCCAGGCTTGAGCATCGCGCTCCTGTGGTCTCATGGGCCCCAGTCGTCAGCGAGATGTGTTCCCCCTTCCTCTTTTTCGTGATCTGCCTGCCCGACAACCGGCTTGCCGTGCTGTGGGACGCCGTCGGGATAGACTGGTGCATTCACTGCAGTGGGCTAACCTCGGCATCGGATCGCTCAACGAGTTGGCAGGACGCAGCGGCAGCGGCCCACGTCGTGCCTCAGTTTTGCAGCACATGGCGCTCGAGCACATCCGGGAGCAGTACACCGCTTTCCCGGGGCCGCCTGAGGACGTGTGCCCCCGCGGGAGCCTTCGCGAGCTCTGCGGCGCCTGCCCCATGTACGGTATGGAGCGGGCGGATTTGGCATCCTACAGCGAGGACAAAGTTTCCTGGCCTGCAGAGGGGGCGGCTCCTGTGTCCCTCGAGTCCGCCCTCCAGCCGGCCGACGCGGCGTGGCTGTCGGATCGGGAGGCCAACATGCTTCGAAGCCCGGAGGAGGCTGCTCAGCTTCGCGCTGAACTGGGACTACGTGCTCCTTACTCTGATCCTGGGCTGCGAGACCCCAAGGTGTACGGACGGTTTCTTGAGCAGCTGCGCCGTCGTGGCATGCTCCAGTTTTGCAAGTGGGATGGCAAGGCCCCGACTTTGGGGGCCGTCACGGTTCGCAAGAAGGGGGACCGCCAGAGGCTCATCTTCGACACCAGGCTGGTCAACCTGCACTTTCGACAGGCGCCTGCTACCGAGCTGCCGTCGGCCGCATCCTTCTCTCGTTTGGAGAGTGAGGCCACCACCCCGCTGTACTTCGCCTGCGGGGACATCGAGAACGCTTTCTACGCGATGCGGATCCCAGCAGGCTTGTGTTCCTTCTTCAAGCTCGGGCGGGTCCGCGCGGGCATGGTGGGGATCACTTCTCTGGACGGCGCAGCGGTGGATTGTGGCGAGTGGCTCACCCCTCAGCTCACCATCCTGCCCATGGGTTGGAGCTGGGCCATGCACCTGTGTCAGATGGTCACGGAGTCCGCCCTGGCGCGGGCGGGTGTGCCAGTCTCACGGCACGTCCGAGATCGCAGCGAGGGGCTGGTGCTGGGGGAGCAGGACGGCCTGGGTGCCGCCGCCTACGTGGACAACTTTTTGGTGCTCGGCGCCAGCCAGTCGGAGGTCGACGCCACCGCGGCGCGTGTGGAGTCGGAGCTGGTCAACCTCGGCTTCTCAGTGCACGAGCAGCAGCGGGCCAGCAAGAGGTGTTCGTTCGTGGGGCTGGAGCTGCGCGGGGCGTCG